TGGATTCAATATTAGAGTAACTTTCTCGCTTGTGTGTTTTTTTTAAATATATTTGGCCTTTGTTTATGTGTTTGACTGATTTACTCAATTAAAAAGGTTGATGAATTATCATCTAATGATTTGTATGATGTTTTATTTATGTTAAAGGTCACTTTGAATGATTTTAACTAATGATAATGTAGAAAAACTAATATTTTAAATTCGGGACGGTCCACATTAATTTCGGGACGGCTTAGATTGTATTTCGGGACGGTTCCGGGAGGATGGTGAAAGAAGTTAGCCGAGAGCCCTGAACTTGGGTCGCAGGTTCCTCAACAGTGCATTACAAGACATCTATCAATATGTGTGTACCTCCACCATTACATTGTCATATTCTGCACATGTCTTATACTATCTACATACATCTTATAAGAGTATAATACATATGTATAATATCAGTTAACCTGTTAAGCCCTGAGCCTGTTTTTCAGGTCTCAGGCTCGAAAATGACATTCCCAGAACAAATGACCATATCTTCCCTTCTAAAAGGGTTAAATTAATAATCTTTTTTCTCAAAGTAATGATAAACCTGTGAGTTGGATGTAGAAAAGTCAGAATCAATATAGATGTTTTTTATTTTAAAGAAAATTCAGATTGAACATAGTAAAAACCGTAAATTATAGTGTCCGTCCAAATATAATTTTTTACTTATAGTGAAAACCACCCTTGGATGATGGTAAGGTAGACTAAAAGCTTTAGGAATCCAAAGTACAACATATAATAAGTACCCTGTATCAAGATTGATGCAAAACAAGTGACATTTGACCTTTTTAGAGAGATTTAGCAAAAGGAAACCACTTCTGGGGTCATTTGGGTGGATTTTCCATATCTCTGGCTTCCCTTGCTCGATTTTGATGGTTGACACCTCTTTCTGACCGTTAGAGCCAATAGAATCGAAGGGGGAGTCCCCCACACACACACGTTGTGAAGAGAAAAGGTGGGGGCTTCGCGCATGTAATTTTGCATCAGAGTGGACCTATCTATAGCTTTGACATCTGGAAACGGAAAAGCAGTTTTAATGCTTATGGATTATCAGAAATCATTTCAAAGGGACACAGACACATTAGATTAACCTATGGATTAACTTCAGCAGCGTTTTTATCGTTTTAATGCCATTGAAGACCACTTTGGAGAGACTACAGAGCCAAGGTAAAAATGTTAGCATGTTTAGCTACCTAGCGTCACCTGTTTTGATGTCCGTTTTTGCTTATAACGTCGCAAATAGGTATAATTCAGTGGTAATGTCGGTGTCAATCGATTCTGTGTCACCTCGATGTGAAATTATGTGTTGGATGTGGTGAAAAGATAAATAATAAGGTTTTGTGAGTGATTTTCGGTGCAGTAAGGTGTTAGCATTTTTCGCTCGTTGCTAATTCAGAGGCTCAGTGTTAGCATTGTGGGTTTTCTTTTGAAAAATAAATAAAAATGATCAGTTAGATGAGTTTCTTCTCGTTACATGGATATAAAACATTCATAGTTTTATTAAATGAACATGCCCTCAGACACTGTTTCCTGCAAGACGTTGCGGCAGTGCCCCGGTACCGGGGTCTCTCGGGCTTAACAGGTTAAACATAACATTTCAGGGGAAAATACTGACTTGACGTAAGTAACTATCTGGGGAAGTTGTGAGGTGATGTTGTTTTATCTTTTTCACCTGCAATGCATGCAAATTAGCGCATTTTAATTAAGCCTAGTTAACGCCTAATTTGCATATCAATGTGGCGATTGTGATGACGTTATTAGATACACATTTTACTGTATTCACTTTAAGTGTCTCCCCTTAAGTACAGTAGGCCTACATTAGCCTGTATGCCCATGATAAATTGTCTTAGCTAAACCTTGAGCTAACTTATCCATTAGCTAGTAGACATACCATAGTTAACTATATTTGTTATTGTCTTTTAGCTAATTAGCTGTAAACTCGAGGCACTGGCAGTTTAGTAATTTGTTCATCTCCACTCACCTTCAAACAAGCCAAGAAAAGCTGGCAAATCTACACTAAAAACACACTTCTTCTCTCTGGCCTTCTAGTTAGAGCGGAGCACGACTCCTGACTCTTCCCTGTGTTTTTTATATATCTGTTGTAATTTATTGTCTTTTATTGTGATTGTAGTAATGTGTTTTTATTACATGTACAGCACTTTGGCTCGACCAAAAATCGCTTTTAAATGTGCTTTATAAATAAAACTTGATTTGATTTGATTTGAAGAAAAGCCGGCATAACATGGCACAGTAAAGTGGGAAGTGCTTACACCTGTCTGTCTGAAGTGACTGCCGATGTCCGCACCGCTGTGCGCGAGACGTGGAGGGAGGGAGGGAGGGTAGAGAGAGCATCGGAGCTTCACAGTCCAATCTCCCGACCTGATATTTTAATTTTGTATTCAATCAATATATTTGTGAAAAGGGAAACTGTGCGCAAACAGCAGTAGATATATATTCTAGGGCTGTCAGTCGATTAAAATATTTAATCGCGATTAATCGCATGATTGTCCATAGTTAATCGCGATTAATCGCAAATTAATCGCACATTTTTTTATCTGTCCTAAATGTACCTTAGAGGGATATTTTTCAAGTTTTTAATACTCTTATCAACATATGAGTGGACAAATATGCTTTATATGTTTGTTTATTATCATTTGAACAATGACAAATATTCTCATGAATATTAAACACAACAACCTCTGAACATTACAAATATTCGCCTCAATTCAACCTGGAACCTCACTCATACAATAATACAATACAAAGTGTGTGTGTGTGTGTGTGTGTGTGTGTGTGTGTGTGTGTGTGTGTGTGTGTGTGTGTGTGTGTGTGTGTGTGTGTGTGTTAGTGTGTGTGTGTGTGTGTGTGTGTGTGTGTGTGTGTGTGTGTGTGTGTGTGTGTGTGTGTGTGTGTGTGTGTGTGTGTGTGTGAGAATGTGGAGACACTGTGATGGATCGTTGGAGCTATGTGCAGCTCGGGGCATATATGCTCGAACGGGAGCTGCCTGGACGCTGCAATCATGTTGCGCGCACTATCCGTGCTGGGTGTGCTGACTTTTCGTACAATGTCTGGCTACCTGCATAAAGTCAAGTGCTCGGCGCAGTTGTCGGCGAAATGTCGCTCCTCTGTTTTCATTGAAACAGCTCCTTATATCCGTTAGCGCAGCTAGCTAGCACCAGATGCTAACAACAACAACAACACGTAAGGTGTGCCTCGCTCGCGAGTCGCGCCACACATACACACACCCTCCCGGTCCTCCCGATGGCCAGTCCGGGCCTGCCGGTGAGCGTGGAAGTGTGGTCTGCCACAAGCGGGCGGCAGGAGCGAGGCTAAGCATCAGCTTGTAGATGGTATTTTAAACTCGATGCGCTCTGAAACTACGGGGCGGCCGAGGACAAAAAATACACATGCGTTAATCGCGTTAAAATAATTAGTGGCGTTATTTATTTTTTTGCGTTAACGCGTTATTAACGCGTTAACTTGACAGCCCTAATATATTCATTTATAAAAATTTAAAAAGGGGGAAAAAAAGGGCACTTTCTCTGGAGGAAGAAAAAGGTCAGGGGCTCAAGCCCACTTTGATGTCTATGTGTGCACGTGCCTGTCCAGGAGCCAGAACCTCCAGCTGTGCCTGCCACCAGGTCAAGATACACCGTGGCTCAAGGGCCTTCACCAGAGCCATCACCACCAAGGACCAGAGGACCAGCATCAAGATACACCTCGGCACAAAGGCCTCCACCACAGCCACCAGCATCAACTCAGCCAGCAAGGAGGTCTCTTAGAACACACGTACCCCCCACACAGCCACCACCATCAACCCGGCCAGCAAGGAGGTCTCGGAGCACACGCACCTCCCACACAGCCACCAGCATCAACCCGGGACAATCAAACGTACCTCCCTCCAACACAGCCACCAGCAGCCCTGCACCATCACCCCCACCTGCACAGCAGCCAGCCCCACTGTCTTGGAAGACGGACAAAGACCCTGCCACTGCTCCCCCTGTCTTTACATTTATAATGAGTAGTTGGTAGAAAAAGTTCTGATATTGTAAATAGTAAGATTTTCCAGTTTCTTATATTTTTATAAATAGTTGGTTGAAAAAAACATATTTATAATAAATTGTTGGTTGAAAAAGAGTTCTAATGCTGGATTTTTATTTGTACACATCACACAACCTTGGTATGTAATATGAAGTCATTCAGTCCTGATGTATCTCAGTCCCTGCTGTGGGGAAAGTAGATTGATAAACAACTATTTTACTCAAAATTCGAATTTAAACATTTTCATTTTAGACATGAATTACAAATGTATATACAGTGTTAGTCATATATTACACTACTTTTGTGAACCTAAGACTTTGGTAAACCAAATCTAAAACACCAGAAAAATGGATGACATGAGTAAGTCTGTGTTTTCACAAGAGTTTTGAAGATTTCCAAAAAATCGGATGTCAAATGTTCAGCTTTAGAGCTAAGTATCTCATCACACAGTGCTTTAAGGTGAGTGACTGTATACATAGAACAGAGACTGTCCTGAACATTCTGATATGTAACACACGGGGTGCCATGTATAACAAGTACATTTAAAAGGTGATTTAAGGAGACATCTAAAAAAGACTCAAGAGGGTTATTGCACCGTTTTTGTATTACTATAATGAACAGCAATACGTTAGGTGCATTCTTTATCACCAGGATACAGTTAGTTTGTGTTAGTTTATTTGTTCAATACAGCCTATATCGAGCACATACATTCGTATGCATTGATGTTGAAGTACTTAGGCTACGCCACTTCCGGGTCCCGGGGGGCTAAAGCTGGCAGCGAAGTAGCCCCAGAGATAACTCTTTCTTCATATTTTTTGTGTGTTCAGTCAAGCGGGTCAAAGTTACAAAGCACTTCACATTTTATTAATCGGCCTAGTAAAATACCCGAGTACTTCTTCCACCTCTGCAAACAATATGAAGTAGTAAAAGCGTCTTACCATTGCTCTAATGGAGTTACACTTGATGTGAAGCTCTGGTCCTTCTGGAGGTCCCCGCTGCCCCCCTACCCTCCATATGGAGGCTGAGGATTCTTTAATAAAGTTGGTGTTTTTGCTCCAACACTCCCGGTGCAGCAGAGGATGCAGTCCCGGAGCTGCAGGCGGAGGATGGGGGTCACAGGCCGGTGCTCTGCCTCCAGCTCGGCTCCGGCAGCAGGGAGCCTTCTCCCGGTCCCGGCTCCATCTGATCGGGGAGGATCATCTGCCGCTGCGCTATCAGCTACACTCCCGTTTGACAGGGGTGGTGGGCGGGGGGTAAGCGACAGATCATGTCATACATAGAGACTGTTCCGAAATGATGATGTTATTTTAAGGTGACGACATGTGGGAGAGGACAGTGTCATGGATGGTCACGGTTCATCCGGTATGCCTAACGCTTATCTCCGAGTATGGAGCCTACTGTGCAATGTGCACTATGCTTGTGTCAAGAGAGTGGACAATAATACAGTTATGTCCCCATTATTGCACCATTAATGTTACAAAGATGGGGATATAAGGATTCAGACTCACCTGCGGTGCTCCTCACAGCGGAATCTCAGCCTCCTCAGTCCGGCAGCGGAGACGGTGCGTTTGGTTCGCCTGTAACGATGTGCCGCATGTTACGTAGTAAACGTGGGCGGGGAGACCCGGTTAAATAAAGTGCAAGCGGCACGTGAGGCGGAGGAGGGGTGACGTCACTGTCAAACAGCTGCAGGTGGCAACCAGTCACCGTTATAATAATAATAATAATAATAATAATAATAATAATAATAATAATAATAATAATAATAATAATAATAATAATAATAATAATAATAATAATAATAATAATAATAATACATTTTATTTATATAGCGCTTTTCACAACTCAAAGACGCTTTACAGTATGAGGGAGGGTAGGCAAACAAGGACAGGCAGACAAATAAATATAGTAAAAATATAGATGTAGGAAGCATGGTGGGATGTATTCAGATGCATTTACTCAAGTATTGCACTTAAAGGGGACCTATCATGCAAAATGCACTTGTGTACGTCTTTTATACATGAATATGTGTCCCCGGTGTTCCAGGGAACTCACCAAGTGTCAGAAAACACAACCCTCTCTATTTTCCTCCATACCCAAATCTCTAAAAAAGGGGCTGCAACGGATCTGATACAGACTGATCCAGATTTGAACACTTCTATGACGTCACAGAAGTGGCACTACGGCTATTGGGCCAACTCTCCACCTATCAGGGGAATGTGGGGTTGGGCCACAGCCGGCCAATCCCGCTCGAAAGCGCTGGAGACGCTGTAGTACATATGCCAGGCCTGTAAGTGGCGCTGTAGTCTGCCACAAAAGCAGCGAAGAAGACTTCCCGCCCATAGTTACCATGGTTACCCTTCTGTTTATTCTCCGCTGTGGCTTCTTTGTTTTTTATTGAGCTTTAAAACAAATGAATAACGACTCTATATAATAAAACATGGAGGACGGAGATCTTTTTTCTCCCCCTCTTCTGACAGCCCAGCAGCTGATCAGAGCACGGCTCACCTCTCCTGCAGGGGGGCGTGGTCAGCAGAATCAGACCCGTAGACAGCAAACAGCACATAGAGCGAAATGAGGCATGGCTAAAATGCATGATCTGTTTGGTATTTTGAAAACAGAAACGTATAAATATACCTTATATAGGTATGGCCCTACAATATATCATTTAAATATAGCATGATAGGTCCACTTTAAGTATGATTTGGGGGTACTTGTACTTTACTTACATTTTTATTTTTAAGCTACTTTATACTCTTCACTACATTTATTAGCCAATAATTTACTTTTTACTCTACTCAGAGGCGGTTCTAGGGGGGGGGGGGCGTCAACAGGGGCTAGTGCCCCCTTAACACTGACCAGGGACCCCCCTGTGGCCCCCCCTACAAAAAAAAGGTTACAATATTACGATTTATTGGAACTAAATCAAATCAGGGACCCGGATGTACAGTGGAGATTAAACTGTTCATTACCTTATATATAAGCAATTTTTTTTATTCAATTGTCACTTAAAGGTAGGGTAGGTAAGTTTGAGAAACCGGCTCGAGATACACTTTTTGTTATATTCCATGGAATACTCTTAACATCCCGATAGCAATGAATATCTTAAGTGCTTTGACAAAAAATCCATAAAAAAATGTCATCTGTGGAAGCTGTAGTACTGTAAAAAGCACGACCAATCATTTTAGCCGGCCCGGCTAAAATAACTGGATGGCCTACCTGCCTGTCAGCCTTCCATCTGTGCACAAACTTATCTCGTGCCCTCATTGGTCATGTGCGCGTTCGTGTGTGTTGGAGGAGGGGCTCTATAAGGAAGTGGCAGATTTTCTCCGGTTCTGTATTTTCAAATTCTAGCGATCTCGAGCCGGTTTCTCAAACTTACCTACCCTACCTTTAAAGTTACTAAAACAGATACTCTAAATTAAAAAAACTACTGAAACAAAGGACTGTAACTAAAATGTACTAAAACAAATACCAATTACTACTACTACTTTATACTGTTTTTGTCTTTTTAACCGCTTTTATTGTGCCCCTCTCATGAAATAACCAACCTGGTCTCACCAGAATGCGTGACTCCACCACGACTCCTTAACACCGCAGTGCGTGGTGGAGTCACGAACTTTGCTACATTTACGTGTCTGCACCACGCAAAGTGAATGAGGCTCCTTTGTCGTGGTGCCCACACGCATTTCTACAACGTCCCGCAGTGAGCTTTTATTCTATAAAACGTTTTTAAAATCTACTTTATAGCTTGTAGTAACTCACGGGAGGCTTCTTTTATTTTATTTGTATTCATAATCATTTTTATTTTTCGTCAGAATGTATGATGGTGCATTAGTTACGACATTTTGTTCTCAATAAACAGTGCATTGTGTGTAATACAACTGTGATTTTTATTAAATTAGTTCGTTTTTAAGGAAGGCCAGAGCTTCAGCTGTGTCAAATAGATTGTTCCCTTTAGTTAACGTTATTTAAAAGATCATTATATTCCTATTTGACCATGTCCCCTTTATTGTATTACGGACCCAAAGAGCAATGTGAGCGTCCATTCCCATTCATTTTACACCCGGAAGTAAGTAAGTATTCTCCTTACTGTCGATTGATTTTACAGTGATATCTGCACAACTCAAAAACACCAGATTATCCTTGTTAATTACACAACATTGATTGGTTTAAATTGTGTACAATGCTTTTGTAATTTTCCCCTTCGATTCGGAGAAACACATATTTGTTCAGAGTTTAGGATGGCCGAAGACACTACACTACCCAGAATCCTCAGCTATTGTTCCGCTTTACCTCAAGCTCTGTGATTGGTTGACCTCCAACTGCATTCCATATGAAAAAAAACGTTTAGTAAAAGATAAAATCATACTTTATTCAGCAGTGCTTGCTTTACTCTTTGAAAGTCATCACATGAATGCATTGTAATGAATGGTTTGGCTGCATTAAACATTACACATCTGTCGTAGTTCTTTATTTATCTCCAGAGATCGGGCCTCAGAATAGACCGGAAACTATTCTTTTACCGTTCTGTTTTAATTTCACAATAAAGTTAGTAGTAATAATTTGTTTTGATATTATTGTTTTGTATTAACTACTAGACCGCTGGGTCATGTTAAGACCATCTTTTCTGTGTTGCTGTGGGTTTTTTACATCGCTTTTGTGTTACAAATATCAAAACAATAACAGAATATATCCATCGTAAACTAAACCAGAAACAGCAGTATATTTTATTTTGTTAACACTGTAAACTTGACAGCTTTTTAACCCGCACCTCCTACTGGTTAAAGCACGTTATTACACGTTTAGAGTAATTGCAATGCAGGTAGATTGTGTTGCTTTTTAATGACTGTTTTAAAATGCCTTTTTCTTAATGTCTTTCAATTTTGTAAAGCACTTTTGAATGTGTTATATTTGATGAAAACATTTAAATATTAAGAGTACATACTCTTAATATAGTGGGAAAGTGGAAGGTCAATGATATAAATAATATAGAATAGAAAATATCAAGAAGATACTGTAAGTGATCTCTACAATAAAACAGTTTAGTGCCTGATAGGAGGATGTGCAAAACAGACAAACTAATAAGGCTTTATTTAAACATTAAAGAATACTTTAGGTTAAGGTCTTCTTTTAAATAAGAAAAAAGCTTTGGGGGTATCTACAGATATTAAGCCTGACAAAGTACTTAATGTCTAATATATTGCATGGTTTGTTTTGGAACTTGACAATCAACTTTCCTGCAATGTTAACTATGTTGAAGCACTTATTTTAACTGATATTATACATATTAATTATACTCTTATAAGATGTATGTAGATAGTATAAGAAATGTGCAGAATATGTTTAATGGTGGAGGTACACAGATATCGATAGATGTCTTGTAATGCACTGTTGAGGAACCTGTGACCCAAGTTTTACATTCATTGCATAACTACACCGTAGTTGTGTATATGATATGTCAATAAACCTTAGAAAATCTTGAAAGGGATGTGCAAAATAGCCATTATATACAGTTTTTAATTAACTATTAGTAGAGAATAACGAGTAATGAATATACTTTATAGGGATCTGCAGATAAATATTTAGCCTTCTCAAGCACCCACTACCAAATATCTCGCCTGATTGTTGCCACTTGACAATCACCTTCACTGAATTTTACTCAGGTGTAACTAAAGTCTGATTTAAGGGTTGTTTATATTTCACATCATTAATCCAAATCTGTAAAGTAACTAAAATAAATGTAGTGGAGTAAAAATACCAGGTTAACCTTAAAGAAAGCCCTCAGGATTACAAAAGGGGTAGGACACGTTCTAAGCACATGGTGTAGTCCCATAGCTGAGGATTCTGGGTAGTGTAGTGTCTTCTGCCATTCACACACTACGAACAAATATTTGTTTCTCCGAATCGAAAGGGGAAAATACAAAAGCATTGCACACAATTTAAACCAATCAATGTTGTGTAATTAACAAGGATAATCTGGTGTTTTTGAGTCGATGAGTAGTGCAGATATCACTGTAAATAAAATCAATCGACAGTAAGGAGAATACTTACTTCCGGGTGTAAAATCCTCCGTATATCCAATGGGAATGGACGCTCACATTGCTCTTTGGGTCCGTAATACAATAAAGGGGACATGATCAAATAGGAATATAATTATCTTTTAAATAACGTTAACTAAAGGGAACAATCTATTTGACACAGCTGAAGCTCTGGCCTTCCTTAAAAACTAACTAATTTAATAAAAATCACAGTTGTATTACACACAATGCACTGTTTTTTGAGAACAAAAATTGGTAAATAATGCACCATAATACATTCTGACGAAAAATAAAAATGATTATGAATACAAATAAAATAAAAGAAGCCTCCCGTGAGTTACTACAAGCTATAAAGTAGATTTTAAAAACGTTTTATAGAATAAAAGCTCACTGCGGGACGTTGTAGAAATGCGTGTGTGCACCACGACAAAGGAGCCTCATTCACTTTACATTGGGGTTCTTTGCGTGGTGCCGACACGTAAATGTAGCAAAGTTCGTGACTCCACCACGCACTGCGGTGTTAAGGAGTCGTGGTGGAGTCACGCATTCTGGTGAGACCAGGTTGGTCTTGTCCCCAGCCCCTTTTGCCGACTGTTTTCTTGGGCAATATTGTCTACTGTGTGTGTGTGTGTGTGTGTGTGTGTGTGTGTGTGTGTGTGTGTGTGTGTGTGTGTGTGTGTGTGTGTGTGTGTGTGTGTGTGTGTGAGGCTGAGATGCACAAACCTTATATGTATATGCATAATCAGAATTGTAATTCTCATACACGCACTGCATAATACCACAATATGGAAGGCCTTTCTAAGAAAATTGCAGCATATTTTATTTAAAAGAAATGTACATACTGAACTGCTGTTTAATACATTGTACACATGCAGTTTGAATTGTAGACACAAATGAGTGTAGAACGTGAGAACAGTGTATACAGTTATGTCGTTATGGTAACCTGCTTCACCACATCCACACTCAGGAACTCCGGTCACAGATGAGGACGGCCAGCCGGTAGATGTTGAGTAGGACCACCAGGAGGTTCTTAATGGCAAAGAAGATCAGCATCTGGTGAACCACATTGAAGTAGATCATAACGGTGAGGCGGACCACCAAGAAGGGCCCGTCCTGGATGAGCAGAGCCTCCACGGTGCTCCAGATATCAGTCCGGAGGTTGGAGAGGAGGGAGGGGGCGGGCTCCGAGGCCTGGTCTGAGGAACCCGCCATCACTACCACACCCAGGAGAAAATCATTACAAGTTAACTCTGTAAGCTCAGTTGTAATATGACATTAAAAAGATGTGTGTCCTCCTACTTTTGTATCAATGTTTGATACAACCCAGTGCTACGCCATTTTATGAGCATTTGCTCTTCTTAACAACTGCTGTGAGGTTAATCTTATGTTTCCTTAAACACATTAGTCGAGATCAGCATTAATTCAAAACTTGATTAACATTTATGCAGAGGTGGGAAGTAGTGAAGTACAAATACTTCCTTACTATACTTAAGTAGATTCTTCTGGTATCAGTACTTTGGTATCAGTATCCACTATTTATTTTTCTGGCAACTTTTTACCTTTACTAGTTCTTACATTTTCCAAACAGGCTTAAACTTTATTTTGTATCTGCATTTGGTGGCATGATCATTATTATTTAGAGTCATTGTTTGCCTTTTTCCACCTAATGTCGAACAGAAAACACTAATGGTGTGTCCATCTTTTCCTGGTCTTCTCTAAAGAAGAGGGACCAATGAGAACTCAGCTTGTTTCCGATCATCATGTTGCTGTTAAACTACTGAATCTCCCCACGGGGATTAATAAAGGTTCATCTTATCTTATCTTATCCTCGGAGCTGTGCTAATGGCAGCAGTCACCAGGAAGCAACTGCGTTACAGTACCTACGCAGTAGCCTACGAAGCTAATTCAATTAAGTGTGATGTGGGCGCGCCTGCATGGGCACTGATTCAAATCAAATCAAATCAGGTTTTATTTATATAGCACATTTAAAAGCGATTTTTGGTCGAGCCAAAGTGCTGTACATGTACTGTAATAAAAACACATTACTACAAATCACAATAAACGACAATAAATTACAACAGATATATCTTAAAAAACAAAATAAAAATAAAACACACGGAAAAGTCAGGAGTCGTGCTCCGCTCTAACTAGAAGCCAGAGAGAAGAAGTGTGTTTTTAGTTTTTGATTTAAAAAACCCCTAGGGTCTGGGCCGACCTCACATGGAGGGGCAGAGTGTTCCAGAGCCGAGGGCCAGCTGCTGCGAAGGCCCTCTGGTTTTTAGCCTGGTCTTGGGCACTACCAGCAGCAGCTGGTTAGCAGACCTTAAAGCTCTGGCTGGGGTGTAGCGCTGGAGCAGTTCAGCTATATAGGCCGGAGCCAGCCCATTTAGTGCTTTAAAAACAAATAAAAGGATTTTAAAATCAATTCTGAACCGAACTGGAAGCCAGTGTAGTGAGGCCAGAATAGGGGTGATGTGGTCACGCTTTTTGTGGCCAGTCAGCAAACGTGCAGCAGCGTTTTGGACTAGCTGTAAGCGTTTGATTGAGGCCTGGTCCATACCCACATACAGAGCGTTACAATAGTCCAGTCTCGAGGTTACAAAGGCGTTAATAACCCTTTCTAAGTCTTTAAAAGATAAATACGACTTGGTTTTGGCCAATAGTCTTATTTTAAAAAAGCAGGATTTTACTACGGTGCTGACCTGCTTGTCGAATTTAAAAGTGCTGGTGAAGGTCACTCCAAGGTTCATGACCGAGGGGAGGATGTTTTTTTTGATAGAGCCCAGAATATCAACCAGAGAGGCTGGAGGTTGCGGTCCAAAAAAGATGACCTCGGTCTTGCTCTCGTTGAGGTTGAGGAAGTTTTTGCTCAGCCAGGATTTTATCTCTGCTAAGCAGTCCATCAGCTGCTGTAGTGAGTGTGTGACATTTGCTTTGAGAGGCAGATAGATCTGTACATCGTCGGCGTAGCAGTGGAAGGGAATGTTATGTTTTGTGAGTATTGAACCTAGGGGCAGTATGTACAGTAGAAAAAGGATGGGGCCCAGAATCGAGCCTTGGGGAACCCCACAGGTAAGAGGGGCTTTGGCAGAGGAGAAGGCACCTAGCTGTACCGAGAAGCTACGGTCTGTCAGGTAGGACCTGAACCATGTAAGGGCAGAGCCTGTGATGCCAGCGGACTGTTCAAGCCGTGACAGCAGGATGCTATGGTCCACAGTGTCAAAGGCAGCTGTCAGGTCTAACAGCACCAAGACAGCTGGGCTACCTGAGTCGGCGGCTAGGAGCAGATCATTAAAAACTCTTAAAAGGGCTGTTTCAGTGCTGTGCATGGGTTTGAAGCCAGACTGAAACTTTTCATGGATTCCATGCGTGGTTAAAAAAGACTGCAGCTGGGCGTAGACTACTCGCTCCAGGGCTTTTGATAAAAAAGGTAGCTGGGAGATGGGCCTAAAATTTGCGAGAATGGAGGGGTCGAGATTTTTCTTTTTAAGGAGTGGCTTAACCACGGCATGTTTGAAGGCAGCTGGGACACATCCTGAGGTAAGAGAGGTGTTTAAAAGTAATAAAATACTTGCTCCAACTGAATCAAAAACATCTCTGAGAAGGCGAGAGGGAATGCTGTCTGAGGTGCAGTTTGTCGGCCGCAGGTGCTTGACTACATCCGAGAGAGAAGAGAGGGATACAGGCTCAAAGTGGTCGAGGACAGCAGGGCACAGAAAAGGAGCAGGATCTGGGGTAGCACTAGTGTGGGCTAGCCTAAGAGCAGATACCTTTTCAATAAAAAATGTAAGAAACTTATCACAGAGAGTAGTCGATGGGACAATAGAAGAAACATCACAGGGATTAATGATAGAGTTGAGGACATTAAAAAGAACCTGAGGTTTATGGCTGTTTTTGGAGATTAACAGAGAAATGTGCTCTGTTTTGGCTGCTTTGACTGCCGTCTGGTAGTCGGAAAGGCAAGCACGAAGGATTTCTAGGGAGACATGGAGTTTATCCTTTTTCCATTTTCTCTCTGCACGCCTGCAAGCGCGTCTGAGAGCACGAGTACAGTCATTGAGCCACGGCTCTGATAGAACTTTGGTGCGTCTAAGCGTAAAAGGAGCAACAGAATCCAGTATTAGTGTGCATGTCGAGTCAAACATGGAGATAAGCTCATCAACATTAAAAGCACAGTTCACATCTAATTTACAGATCGGAGAAGCATTAAAAGCATCAGAGAACTGTGAGGCAGTCAAGGGGTTAATCGAACGCAGACGACGCGCAGGGGCACGTGATTCGACTCCTGCGGAAGGGATGTAGGTTGTAAACAGAACCGGTAAATGGTCTGAGATACGCGTTGCTGCACAGATTTCATCCACAGATACAGACAGTCCAAACGATAATACTAAGTCCAAAGTGTGTCCTTTTTCGTGTGTTGGGCCAGCCACGGACTGAACGAGACCAAAGGAATCAAGGAGATTTAAAAAGTCCCTAACCAGAGGTTTGGACTCGCAACACACATGGACATTGAAGTCTCCGGAGATCAAAACACGATCATATTTCACCATGATCCCGGACAGAAAGTCAGAAAAGTCATTTATGAAATCCTTATTACACTTTGGCGGACGATACACGACTGCGCAGAGTATAGGCGAGGCCGGGTCAGTTCAAAAAGCTGCAACTCAAAGCTGGCATAGCTAGATACAGGGTGAAGCAATCGGCATTGGAGGTTAGCTCTAAACACTGATGCTATGCCCCCACCATGGCCAGTGGCACGGGGGGAGCTGAAGAATGTACAGTCAGGAGGAAGAAGTTCAGAGAACGGTGTATACTCGCCAGCGTGGGCCCAGGTCTCCGTCAGGAACATAAAATCCAGTTCACGAGAGGTGAAGAAGTCGTTTAGCAGGAACGTTTTGTTTGCTATCGACCTAGCATTTAGCAAAGCCATGCAAAGTTTTCGCTCCGGGCTTGCCGAAGGTGTAGTGCGTCTCAGCTGACGAAGATGTGCGTGTTGAACGCCGCGCGGGCCGGGAGCAGTCAGTCGGGCAGGAGGAGCTGCCAGCGGGCCCCTCAGAGTCCGGAGCTCCGGAAAAACGGGGCGAATCCACCGATCCCTCACTTGGCGTGCAGCGGGAGGGCCATGACATCCGAGGCGTGGATAATTCACAGAAGAAGCCGTCAGGTATGCCTTAAGATGGACCAGTGCACCACCACGCTTTCCCCGTCGTCGAAAGCGCTTTCGGCGAGGCAGGATGCAGTGTGACCGGCGTAGGTAGGTGGGGATATCCGACAGTAGAGGGGGGGGGGGACGATTTATGGTTGCCAGATGTAGGTTTGGGCAGCAATATCAACTCCAGTGAGGGTCTGAGGTGGAGGAGAGCTTGGCGATCATAAACGAGCAGAGCAGAGACATTCTGACAAACATAAAACAAAAACAGGACAGCTAAAGGTAGAGAGCTAAGCGAGCGGCGAGCCGACACAGGCGCCATCTTGAATCACGTCACTTGAATGATTGATTGGACTTGGAACAGGTGTGTCAATCAGCTGAGAGACTCACAGCGGAGAGACTCACAGCGGAGACACAAAAGGCAGTGGAGAGGTGTGAATCGAGGTTGGAGGACGCTACATGTGACTCGGCACTCTTTTGGGTGGGAGGGTGTCGTTCACAGCGGATAGAGCTGCCGGCGACGAAGACAGCCAGCGCAGGATAGACGTTCGAGTGTCAGGACCGGGAGGTCTGCTACCTCCTATAGATAGTCAGGGCCGGGGATTTAGTGAGTGCGAGCCACGATCCCTCCTTACGCACGGCGGTGCCAAAGCAACACAGACACCAGCTGTAGTGACTCAGTTCACGTCGTCCAGCAAAGCCGATCCCCGGGGAGTTGGACGGCGTCCTAAGCGTAGACCCCGGGGGAGGGTCTCGCCGACTGGCGAGTTACGTATATATTTATATTGTTGTATGTCTGATATTTTAGGAGTATTTTAGTGTGTATATGGAGGGAGAGCAGCAGGGGAGAGGCTACCACGAGTAGGAGCTCTCGCCCTAAATTGTGGGTTGGTTAAGTGCATGTGTGTGTGCCGTGTGCGTTTACAATTGCCGAGTTGTGTGCCTCCGGTAGAGGGTGTTCGCGTGCCGTGTTCTTTGTGTGGTGTGCCGTGCTAAAGCTATTAAACTAGCCCTGTTTGAAGTGTATAAAGTGGGCTCCACAGTTAGTGCCGTCCCGTGGATTCGCTTGCTCTCTCCTCTTATCAATTAACTGTTCTTATAATAAAGATTGTCCTATATTTTGTACATAGCTGTCTCTGTATTTATTGGAAGGTTCTGACAAAGTGGTAGTGTTTCCTGCCACACCTGAGCGAATCCAACATATATTACAGAAGCAAGGCAGAAAGAAAAATGTCAGAGACAGGTGAAGTTAGCGATATCCCTACGACTGAGAACAAAGACATTCCTAATCACCCATGATCATATTTGAGGGGGAAGTTCTATAAAACAGCTGGTAGTTATGGCTACTTTTAACTTAAGTACATATCAAAGCCCTTACTTTTACTTGAGTAAAGAAGTTCAGTCAGTACTTCAACTACACATCACTGGCATTGCTGTTCAACATTCTTATTAGGTTTCCTGATAAAAACAAATCCAATATTCTCTCTCCTTTTACCTCTGGTTTGGTCTCCACCAGCTCCTGGTTAATATGTCTCTGACATATACTGTGTGTCTATGGGCTTGATGCAGGGCAAGGGGGTACAGTGGGGTTTATTCAAGCTTTTTGCTGTAGGAAATGAAGCCGGGGGGGCTGGAGGTTTATGGGCTGGAAACAAAACGATAGGTCTGTTCTGTAGAGCCAAGGGGAATCTGTTTCTAGGTTAATAGCTTCTAGGGACAGCTGTCCTTTAAAATGTATGTTATTATCATTATCTATAACCAATGAATTTCTCAGTGCATGTGTGTAGATGTATTTGTGTAAAGCAGTGGTTCTCAAACTCTATTCCCCCTTTCAGAGGGAGATTTTTTTTTTAAAGTTTTCAGTCTTTAGACCAAAAAGCAGGATTCTATTTGAAGCCATGTTTGTGTAGTAACTTTACCTGAGAGATGGAGTGGAAACTGCAGCATGCTCCACGTCCACACACCCAGAATAATGTACACCATGGCTGGGCTGGAGTCCCTTTGACACACACACACACACACACACACACACACACACACACACACACACACACACACACACACACACACACACACACACACACACACACACACACACACACACACACACACACACACACACACACACACACACACACACAGGTTTGATTTCACCTCGATGTTAAGTCAACAAGTCAACACCTTCCCTGCTCTCCTCCGTCCTGTTACTCACTTCATGTCAGTCAGTGTTTCCGAGGTGAACTCCAGTATGTCGGCGGCGGTGCCTACGAAGATGAGCAGTAACTGGGAGAGCTGGTCTCTGGTCAGCTCTCCAGCGGCCGGCAGCAGCCACTTCCCTATGATCAGTAGGATGAGCAGGATTTGGTGCAGAGCCAGGATCCAGTCGTTGGCACAAACTGAGGTCTGTGTCGTGTGCAGACAGAGAAATAAATCATACAGAGAAAAAACATGGTGACCCTGAGAGCTCATCGCACTGCTAACTTCGAAAACATCTCCACCAAGTTGACAACAAATGGCTGCAAATACAGAAAGATGCAACGGTTGACATGAAGCGTTGGGTTGCTCATTATTAGTCAATTCAAATAGTACACATCAGTCATTGGGATCAGGTGTTATAAGAGTAGCAGAGACGCTTTAATTAATAGTGTAGATTATGTATGTGTGTGCGGTGGATGCTCTCAGATCAGACAACTTTGGTTCAATTAACAGTAAAGTTGTCAAGTGGTAGTAAATATACAGTTTAGGTATAAACACTGCAGCTCCACAAAACTACAGCCCTGCATACAAAACTAGACCTGAAACAGGAGTGAACATATTCTGTAGGCTGGGCAATGATGAAATCAGACGTGGAGGAATAACTCACATCTTATACTTAAAGTGGACCTATCATGCTATATATAATATATTGTAGGGCCATACCTATATAAAACATGTCTGTGAAGTTTTTATTTCAAAATACCAAACAGATCATGCATTTTAGCCATGCCTCATTTTGCTCTATTTTGCTCTCCTCCAGCCCTGTCTTTGCATGAGCTGCAGCTGACCACGCCCCCCTGCAAAGGAGGGGGGCGAGGCACGAGCGTCATGTTACCATGCTGTTACCATGCCACGGCAACCTCTCATTCCCCTGATAGGTGGAGAGTTGGCCATATAGGCGGAGCTCCTCGTTCCTGACGTCAGAGAATTTTCAAATCTGTATCAGTCTGTATCAGATCCGTTGCAGCCCAGTTTTTAGAGATTTGGGTATGGAGGAAAAGACAGAGGGTTGTGTTTTCTGACACTTGGTGAGTTCCCTGACACACCGGGGACACATATTCATGTATAAAAGACGTACAAAAGTCCATTTTGCATGATAGGTCCCCTTTAAATAAAAGTAGCAATACCAAAAATACTCTGTTACAAGTTAAAGTCCTGCATTCATTCTGGATTATGTTTATTGATGTGTTATTCTATTACAGCTGGAGTGGAGCTCATGATACAAATTATTATACTTATGCTGGATGAGGTAATACTTGTACTGTATATGTCAATGGTAATTTATTACTTTTCTAATAATAGTAGATACAAAGTATAACTTGGTATACAATTAAAATACTGGGGAAGTACGTAGGTACAACATTTTAGTAAATGTACTTCACCAATGAATATTAGAAGCAGTCTTAGGTACCAATCAAGTTAAAGTAGTGTTTTCTGTCACAAATGGAACCTCACTCTTGGTTTGTTCCAAAGGGAAAAATGAGGTTACAGCCATCGTTTGATTACAGAAAGGGTTGGTTTGCACTTCTTTGTTGGTCTAAACCAGGGGTACTCAAATACAAATCTTAACCTGTTAAGCCCGAGAGACCCCGGTACCGGGACACTCCCGCAACATCTTGCAGGAAACAGTGTCTGAGGGCATGTTCATTTAATAAACTATGAATGTTTTATATCCATGTAACGGGAAGAAACTCATCTAACTGATCATTTTTATTTATTTTTCAAAATAAAACCCACAATGCTAACACTGAGCCTCTGAATTAGCAACGAGCGAAAACAGATTACTGCACCGAAAATCACTCACAAAACCTTATTATTTATCTTTTCTGCACATCCATGACATCGATTCGCATCGTGAGGTGACAGAGAATTGATGGGTGCATACATTATCACTCCATGATACGAACTCGCGACTTTATAAACAAAAACAGACATCAAAACATGTGGCGCTAGGTAGCTAAAAACGCTAACATGGCTTACCTGTCTCTTACCGGTCTGGTCAAAAGTGGTCTTCAATGGCATTAAAATGATAAAAACGCTGCTGAAGTTAATCCATAGGTTAATCTAATGTGTCTGTGTCCCTTTGAAATGATTTCTGATAATCCATGAGCAATAAACCTGCCTTTCCGTTTCCAGATGTCAGAGCTAGAGTACAGGTTCGCTCTGATGCAAAACTGCATGCGCGAAGCCCCCACCTTTTTTTTTTCACCATGTGTGTGAGAGGGGAGATTCCCCTTCGATTCTATTGGCTCTAACGGTCAGAAAGAGATGTCAATCACCAAAATCGACCAATGGGTTCCAGAGAAACGGTAAAACCCCCATTTCCACCCAAATCACCTCAGAGGTGGAGTTTTTTTTGCTAAACCTCTCTAAAAAGGTAAAATGTCACTTGTTTTGCATCAATCCTGATACAGGGTACTTATTATATGTTGTACTTTGGATTCCTAAAGCTTTTAGTCTACCTTACCATCATCCAAGGGTAGTTTTCACTATAAGTAAAAAATAATATTTGGACGGACACTATAATTTACAGTTTTTTACTATGTTTAATCTGAATTTTCTTTAAAATAAAAAACATCTATATTGTTCTGACTTTTCTACATCCAACTCACAGGTTTATCATTACTTTGAGAAAAAAGATTATTAATTTAACCCTTTTAGAAGGGAAGATATGGTCATTTGTTCTGGGAATGTCATTTTCAAGCCTGAGACCTGAAAAACAGGCTCAGGGCTAAACAGGTTAAAGGTAAAAAAAAAGGTCAAAGGTCCATTTATTGGATTATTTTATATTGTGTCTGTGATTGATCCCTCAGAGTCGCAGTGTGAGCTGCACAGTTATGAATAAAGGCAGCTGCACCCTCTTTCATTCAGCATTCCCATTATTGCTTTATAAATGTCTTGCCCCCTTGTGTGTCCACTGAGGTTCGTCAGGCCCAACACATCTTCAACAAACTCCCCCTTTGCCTCATCATAAAAACTCACAAACACCAGCAACTGAGCATTGTCAGTGGTGTCAGTGGACTCATCCACAGCTAAGGAAATGCACTGTGCATTTTTTATTCCATCACAAAGCTGATTCATCAAATCACCAGCCAGTATTTATGTTCTTCTGGTTGCTGTGGAATCTGAGAGGGGGATTTGCTTGATTTGACCTGTTATTTCCTCTTTTTGTTTTCCTTCAAACATGGTGTCCATCACTTCAGTCATGCATTATTTTATACTTCAGTTATCCAGTGGAATGCCCTTACCTACTGGCCTAGTTAAATCAAAGTGGTTACTTTTTTTTGGCTGAGCAGTGTAGTTTTACACACCGTCTTATTTGACTTTCTCAGGACTTAAAACTGTTTTTTGGGGGCAGACCACCACAAAGAAAAAAATATATTTACACACGTAAGGTCATCATCTTAACAGACGTGCATCTTGTGCTGCATTCACTTGCACTCGGACATTAGAGACTTTCTCTCATAAATGTCAGATGAGCCACAACTTTTCTTTCAAAACAAAGTTGCCTGTCACTACCCGATCTGCCCCCCTGCCCGATCTGCACTGCGCATGTGCGAGATGGTCCGCCATATTGGACAACTACATACGGCAACTCTAATAGGACAGTTGACACAGTGGCTTTTGGCAAAGCAGAAAAAGAACTGATAGAGATGAGTTATTGTTATTACAACGTGACTTCACTATTATTTAACAACTCTTTTTATTGGGTTCTTTTATTTGGGGTTAAATACATTGTCAGAATAAGTGAGAAATGGATTTAACTTCTGTTAGACAGCTATCCTACTGAATAAATATTGACTCTGAATGTATGCAAAAATGTATGGCATATAGCTGTCTAACAGAAGTTAAATCCATTTCTCACTTATTCTGACAATGTACTTAACCCCAAATAAAAGAACCCAATAAAAAGAGTTGTTAAATAATAGTGAAGTCACGTTGTAATAACAATAACTCATCTCTCTCGGTTTTTTTAGTTTTCTTTGTGTGCTTTGCCAAAAGCCACTGTGTCAAGTGTCCTAGTTGGGTTGCCGTACGGAGTTGTCCAATATGGCGGACCATATCGCACATGCGCAGTACAGATCTGGCAGGGGGGCAGATCGGGTAGTGACACTGCCAACTGGGGTGGCAGCTGGGGTGGCAAGGCCTATTTTTAGGGTGGCAGTTGCCACCCCATGCCACCCCGGTAGGTGAAACTAGGCTACTAGCTACAGTACAGATGCAACTAGATGAGCTGTTAACTCTCGCTCTGACTTTTCTTTTTTTAAACTCTGACTCAGACAGGTTGAAAGAGACGACACACGCATTTTTCCCACCCGCATTCCGCGAAGACCCGCCCTACTGTGCCTCTGATTCGCAGACTGTTGGTGGGGGGAAAAAACGCTGACGGGATGCTGAATGTGATTGGACCAAAGCGTTGACAGACACACACAGACAGTGGAACAGTCGTACATGCAGAGCGCTGTTTGCAGTGGACATAGCGGAGAATTTTGACTCGTTGCGTTGTGGCGATGTCTCGCAGATAACACAGATAATACAGATAATACAGATATACATATGAAAAGTATAATTTGCTCAGAGTCCAGAGACAGTTGTGTTTTGGTCCGGATCCGGACCTGAGTCCGAACTTTGAGGATGCCTGGTCTAAACAATAATGTTTCATGTCATCGTGCGGCAACTTGTTTTGCGTTAAACTTTTCAATAAACGATTTGCAGAATTTTTTCCTATACCCTCACTTGGCTAAAGTTCTGAAAGTGTCGAAACCCACATACCATAACACTACCCTGTTTCATGTTTAGTGTGTATACTGTGACAGCAATTATATTTGTCCTCATTTTCAATATCATTGACAGATAGCCGACTTTAATGACGTTATAACCGTAAAAACACGTCTTCTGGAAACAGCTTCTTTCGTGTTGTCAGCAGGCTTGGGGAGTAATGGATTACATGTAACAAGATTATGTAATCGGAATACAAAAAAAGGTAACTGTATTCGATTACAATTACATAAATAAATAACGAATCAGATTACTGTTACATTTAAAAGAAAATATACTGTAGATTACTAGCACGATTACAGTGTTTCAAAACATTTTTAAACAAAAATCGATGAAGTTAATGAATTTCTTTATGGTTTATATTGAGGCTACTTTAATTCTTTTTTATTTCGATTGTATCACATGTAACTAGTTATTTGATGGATTGATGGATGGATGTATAGATGGATAGATAGATAGAGGGATAGATACATAATGTCCCAAACTGGGAAATTATTCATTATTTAGTACTCTTTAAGGAAAATATGGCACATTTTGGGAGTCATATTCCCCGACTCATGCCTCTGGGAGATTTGCAAGCTATGCTTTTTTTCTTTCTACTTTAACACTTTGGAAAAGCTTTAAGTTAAAGGAGAAGTACTGTGGGTTTAAGTGAAAATAGGGAATAAAACATGGTCAACACAGAACATTTTACCAGAGCTTTCATGTTGGGCTTGTTATTGTTTTAATTAAGGGTGTGCCGGGTCTTTAAAGTGGTCACCACTTCTATGAATGTGCTGGTGTTAAAAGAGGAAAAATACCCGCAGCCTCACAACAGCCTCTTTGAGATTAATCAGCATAACCAAACACCGGCAGGGAGAGAGCTCCACTGTCTAGACCAACTGAGTGACCAAATGGAAAGCAATGGCAAAAGTGCAGAAAATAATGTAAGGTAGTGTTATCCTACCTTAACTGAGGTGTTAATATACATTCAAACTGCCATGTGGAACTTTATTTATCTCCAGGGGCCGCGACCCTCCACTGCCAGAAAACAGGCTACTGCTGTGACACATACTATACAGTTTAAGTTACAGTATAATACGTCCAAATGAAAGAAACATGGTTTAAATATTTTTTATATATTCTCAGTTTTATTTGAAATTAATTAAACCTTAAAATGTTCATAAAGCTTTGACACTTACCTGAAGTTTAAAAATACTCTTGATATTTTCGGTAGAGTCCAGTTTTTCACACTAAAATGAGAAAAACAGAATGAACATCTTTAATAAGCAAAGCAATATGTAATTAAACTCTTAGAATGGAAGAGAATATGATATCAAATAATACATAGATTATACCCTGGAGTCAGTGGACTTGTTCTCTTGGTGGTGGAGCTCTAAAATCCATAATGACGGGATGATACTGACGAGAAAGAGGAAGATCGCAGGAGAAAACCTGCAGGGAAAGACACATCATTATACAAAGATTGGTATAATCTTAACGTATTCTCAATACAACAAGAAACTGCATTCTAGCTTAATATCATACATTTAACCAGAATAATAAATTGAATACCATTTGTAATCTTTTCCCCGTCTCCTCTTCAGAGTCAGGATCATCTCCACCACCAGAGGCAGGCAGAGGCCGGTGAGGAGCCAGTAGAGGCCATGGTCCTTCACCCACACCACCCTCCACACCCCTATGAGGGAGAGCAGGAGAAACAGAGACCTGGTCACCACAGCACAGATGAACTGGAAGAACATGACTCAGGTCTCTGAGTTTGTGAAGCACAGTGCTGGAGCTGTGGCAGTCTGCTGGGGACAGAGTGCGAGAGAGAGGCGTGAGAGGTCTGTGAAAGGTCTGCAGGAGTTCAGACCGCTCATTTAAAAAGCAGCGGGGCACGCCTTCCGTAACCAGACTTGAAGTTTGTCTCTAATAACTGCTATGGTGTGCCAATTTGGATATGAGTCAGTAACACTAACCCTATACAAATAGTACCCAACAAATGCACCATTTCCTCCTGTTAGAGTAATCTTTGATACAAATAAATATGACCACCTAAGTATTCAATGAGCCTTTTAAACAAATTAAACCATTCATTAAAATGCAGTAAAATTATAGTAGTTGATTATAGTCCTTTTTAGGCTTTATATGTTTTTAATTTCTGTGCATAGGAAAACTATTGTAAAACAAGCAATTTTGTTTTAAATATTATATTTATCTGCCGTGCTGTGCGGAAAGTTAGGTTGCAGGTTTTTTTTTATTACATGACAGTAATAGAGGCCTTGCAAACCATTGATCACAGAGATAAATACATTACTTATGATCCATAAATGTTACTTAGGGTGAACTAATAGATATTACTTCAGTGACAATTGCTACAGTGTTAAAATAGTTAAACTTTCCCTATACATAGGCCCAGGGACGTGCAAACATTTGGAGGGGCTATTGCTCTAAACTGGAAAAAGGGCCTCCCCCCCCGAAAAAAACATAAGACCTTTTGAACATTTTAACTTGTTTTTAATGTAAAAGGTTAAAAAAAATACAACACTGTCATTGCAAGTGACACTCAGTTTACTTTTATGTCCAACTGCTAAATTCGTTATCCAGGCACATTTTTTGTTTTGCGGTCCATATCTCATTAAAATATCTAATGTGAGTAACTATTAAAGAAAAATTGGGACAATTCTGTTTTAATGTAGTTTGACCATTGTAACTGCTGTGCAGACATACTGATAAAATACGGCTTCTAACTAATTACCTTAAATAAACTCACTAATTAATGAAATCATTAATTATTCTTATTCTTATCATTCTTTATGAGCGCAGTAACGGTAAGGTATCTAATTACTTATTTATTTAGTATTCCATAACTTCATAACAGAGATGGTCAAACTAAAGTAGAGACATGGCAGAAATCCTACAATGAAGCGGGACAGTGAACTGTTCTCCGTGAGAGGGCGATCAAGAGAAGAGAGAGAGCGGCCCCGTCGAGGGAGTTTACAGATGGAAAGACACAGAAAGACAGAAGCACAATAACAAGTATATTTGGGTGATTTCTTTGTAAATAACCGACAGTGTCAAGAGGAATTAAAGTCCCCTGGTTTGTCCCCTACTCTAACTGACATAAGAAAACTCAAAATCAATATAAGCATATTAAAAAACGGGGACATTTCCGGGGGCAGATTGACCACCAAAGCCAGGCAGGCATTTGGTATGATCACCATAGCCATATGAGGCCGGACTCGGAGGGCTTTTCTTTGCTTTCAGCTGTCAGCTGAGAAGCAGGGGCGCCGGAAGCAGGGGGGCCAAGGGGCCATTGGCGCCTCCACTTTACAGCCCTGCCCCACATTTTCGCAGCGGCGGATGTCGCGGAACACTGTACATCCCGTTTCAATAATTCCCCTCTACTCTAAAGTCGCATCTAAAAAGAACGCAATCTGATCTAGCTGTGTATATTTTGTTATTTTTGCAAATTGAGGAGATGATAAGACAATCTCATTAGCTACAGGAAGCGACAGAGGCTCATATATTGCATTAGGTAAAATAAAGCAGGCAAACATAACAGGAAGAATATGTACATTTTAATCCAATCAAAGAGGACATTGTCACACCATTCAAATGTATCCATGTACATTACAACCAGGCACGTCGCCTGGCCTGGTTGTAATGTACAACCAGTAATGTAGCCCCGGACAATTCTCCCTCAATCATATAATACATTAACCGTGCTTTACCTGAACCTCGTCATGACACTAGAGAGGACAGCAGGATTGTAATTTCCCGTGTTCGGTGAATGCAACAGAGGCATGGCACCAGACCAATCACCAGAGAGTTGCATGGAAATAAACGTGTCTTATTGGCTGACAGGTACCTATCCTGTGACAATGTTTAAACTGTCAGTTGGACTCAGAGTTTTTGAAGATGGACATAAGAACATTTTTTCTAAAAAAAGACGACAATTCTCAAGTGGTGGCTCACACAACAACCCCAGAGCCACCACTTGCGCCAGGTAAACAAGGTATGTAAATGTCAGTAAACTTCCAAGTTATGCGAACATGTAAGCAAAGCATAAACTACAGCCAAGTAGTTGTTGATGTTACTTTGAATCGCGCGGGTAAGCTAAACCGTTAGCAAGTAGCTATAGCTAGCCAGAGACATTAAATTAACACTTTGTCATACAATACAAATGTTATGTTTTTTAGCGTTACCTGGTGATTTAAAAAAATCCTCTGGAATATGTTGACTTACTGTCAGTGTTCGACATGAAGCTAGAAGCTACCTTAAGGCCGCTACACACCCACCTGAGGCTAAAGAACGCGTACCGAAGGCGTCCCGACTTTTACGTCAGCTTCGTCGCCTGCGTCGGCTACGCCGCCCGCTACGCCGCCCGCTACGCCGCCCGCTACACCGCCCGCCTACGAACACACCGCAAATACTTCAGTCGACGAGTGGCAATAACTGTCCTTACCAGCAGGCAGCGGTAGTGTGAACAGCCAATCAGAGTGATTGCTTGGCCCGACTTTCTCTGACCTCCCGGGCCGCGGGAGGCATCGGGAGGTGTGAAAAGGTGCCGTAAAGAGACGACGGTGCGGGACACACCAACCTGAGTAGGGCGCCGCGAATGCCCGACTGCCTCTGACGGCCTCTGACTCCCAAAATCGGGTTTGTGTGCAGCTTTACATTACACAGTCACAGGGGAGTGATTTGTAAAATATCCATAAAGAAAAAGAAAATCTGTTTACAGTTCTGTTTCATATGGGTGTTGAAATATGTATCCATATCTCTTCATTTTGCTCTCAAAGTGCACCAGATTGATGCTTTTAACTTCAATATTTAAAAAAAAATCTTCCCGGGCCCCCCTAGAGGAGGTGAGGACCCCCCTAGAGGAGGTTAGGTCCGCCCCCCACTTGTAAAAAATAGCACTTTACCCCTGCTTACACCTACAGTGCCTTGCGAAAGTATTCACCCCCCTTGCCATTTTTCCTATTTTCTTGCATTAAAACCAAAAATATTATATTATTTTTGGGGGGATTTTATGGCAAGACCCCACAGAAAGTCAGTCAAAATTGGTGAAGTGAAAGAAAAAAAGAGCATGTTTTAAAACATAACAAAAAATGTAAAACTGAAAAGTGGTGTGTGCATATGTATTCACCCCCTTTGCTATTTAGCCCATATGAATTCATTATTATTATACAACTGTTGTAGAAGGCCTCCGTCTTCCATACCACAGCAAGTGGCCTTTCTAAGCAAGAAAACGACACCATGAAGACTAAAGAGCTCTCCAAACAGGTCAGGGACAAAGTTGTGGGAAAGTATGAGACAGGGTTGGGTTATAAAAAAATCTCACAAACTTTGAACATCACGAAGCACCATTAAATCCATTATTTTAAAATGGAAAAAATATGCCACGACAACAAACCTGCCAAGAGAGGGCCGCCCACCAAAACTCTCACACCGTGCAAGGAGAGCATTGATCAGAGAGGCAACAAAGAGGCCGAGGATAACCCTGGAGGAGCTGGTAAGCTCCACAGCAGAGAGAGGAGAATCTGTACATAGGACCACAGTAAGCCGTACACTCCACAGAGCTGGGCTTTATGGAAGAATTGCAAAAACAAATAAGAAAACATGTTTGGAGTTCTCCAAAAGGCATGTGGAAGATTCCCCAAACATGTGGAAGAAGGTCCTGTGGTCAGATGAGACTCAAATTGAACTTTTTGGCCATCAAGGTAAACGCTATGTCTGGCGCAAACCCAACACCTCTGATCACCCTCAGAACACCATCCCCACAGTGAAGCAAGGTGGTGGCAGCATCATGTTGTGGAGATGTTTTTCATCGGCAGGGACTGGGAAGCTGGTAAAGATAGAAGGAGTGATGAGTGGAGCTAAATACAGGGAAATAGTTGAGGAAACTGTGTTTCAGTCTGCCAGAGATTTGAGGCTTGGGCAGAGGTTCACCTTCCAGCAGGACAATGACCCAAAGCATACTGCTAAAGCAACGCTAGAATGGTTTAAGGGGAAACATTGAAACGTTTTGGAGTGGCCTAGTCAAAGCCCAGACCTTAATCCAAATAAAAATCTGTGGTATGACCTAAAGATGGCTGTACATCTAACCTAAAGGAGCTGGAGCAGTTTTGGCAAGAAGAATGGAAGCAAATCTCAGTGGAAAGATGTGCCAAGCTTATAGACACATACCCCAAGAAACTTGCAGCTGTTATTGCTGCAAAAGGTGGCTCTACAAAGTATTGACTTTAGGGGGGTGAATAGTTATGCACGCTCATGTTTTTTCTTTTTCATTATTATTTCTTGTTTGTTTCACGATAAAAAATATGTTTTGCATCTTCAAAGTTGTAGGCATGTTGTGTACATCAAATAATACAAATTCTCCAAAAATCAAATTAAATTACATGTTTTAATGCAATAAAACAAGAAAAATGCCAAGGGGGGTGAATACTTTCGCAAGGCACTGTATATGCCGTGAGCTGATTACCGAGCCTTCATTGTAACAGTCGCAGGTGTACTGTGTTTGTGCGTGTGGGGAGTGCTGCAGTAGAAATTTCCACTGTAGCGCCCGGTACCTTAATGTACCTTAATGAACTGTGGGCTAAGCCCCGAATGTTTCCAGGTCCAGGAAACGCCCCTGATTACAACCAATAAAAAAGCTTAGATTTGTTTCTTTGTTACCTGTGTCAGCCGTTAATCTAGATCAGGGGTGGGGAACCTTTTTCCTCTTAAGGGCCATTTCAATTTTTTCAACATCCTC